ATTTACTTTAGTAATTTTGTACATATAGTTATTTTTTTATTTTCAAAAATACGATTCACACACGTAATATCTGAACTGACTTCATACATAATATATAAAATTAGTAGAAAATTTCTAGTAGAAAAACGACTCAAAAAATCGTCTGTTTGATTAGATATTTAAGGAGGTTGTACTGTTCTCGCAAAAAGTAGAAAAAGCTGTACTTTAGTATTTGAGGCAACGCCCACTAGGTGGTGTGATACCTTGATAGAAACTTCTTGTGTGTCACGAGGCTCTTAAAAATCGAAGACCCTCATGATAGAAACCCAATGCAACCTAAGCACACTTGTTATATCATATTTTAATCATTAACTCTGGGATTGGATGCTAGGCGCTACCCCGTTTGCGCCACTCATATTTATTGCAAGACTGGTGTCAGTATTACTATTCTGTCTCAATTTAAGTCATTTAGTAGGTATTATAAGCAATTAAGATCTTCTTACATACATTTGCTATGATAAAGAGCATAACATCCTTTATTAATGGGTTTTCCAACAAGGGTCAGCCATTTCGGATGGACGCTGTTTCATATACTAAAGTCCTACCAGATTATTAACACAGTTTTACTAAATAATTTTAAGTTTCCATCGTTCTTTTGGATGATTGGTGCAACCCCTTTAACAGTACGAGTTGTTCTCTTGATTATTTACTGTCCTTGTTAAGCCATATAAAGTAGAAGTAAAAATTTTACTTTCACTGTCTCAAATATTAAAATCATTTGATTTTCGTGTACTTTTAGAGAAAATGGACGGAGTGCAGAATGGCTTAATATTTTCTCAAAATTTTCTCATACTTTCATCACAAGGTGACGTACATAAATAAAGAATCTTGTACATTGGTGCAAGCCATTAAGTAAAATGACGCGATGAAAAATGTACCCATTTTCAATCGGCCCAATCTCTAAATAACGAAGATTTAGCGACGGTGATGACGATACTGATTAACAGTAGCGATCAATACGTTCGATTGTCAGTAGTAGTCGATCGAAAATACTACTACACATGAAATAAAAAGAGAAAGAAGTAAAGTTTAACAATTAAAATAACAGTAAGTTAAGATGTAGGCGTAGACATTTAGGAACATATCACAAAAGTCCTGTCGGTGGCAACCACTTTGCAATCCTACAATTAGTGCTTTAAACGACTTTTTAATTAGTACATACGTGTAACTATTATTATTAATTGATTAATTAATAATGATAATATTAGATTTACGCTACAGTCAGACATGTGTCCCTCTGGCAGATGATAATAATGAGTAATTATTAATAATAGTAATAATAATAATAATAATGATGATGATAATAACTTCGCTCCAACACGCAAACCTTATCTTGCCGATGGATGGATATCGATAATGGTTACACGGACTACGTATCGCGTTATGATGGTCCTGATTGCTCTGAAGTTTGTGTACTGATACCGATACACCAATTTCTGTGTGCGTTTAGGTTTGTCACAAAAACTGATTGATCGG